CGGATGGTAGCCATCTCACCGGATGAGTAGCCATCTCACCGGATGGTAGCCATCTCACCGGATGGTAGCCATCGCCGGATGGTAGCCATCTCACCGGATGAGTAGCCATCTCACCGGATGGTAGCCATCTCACCGGATGGTAGCCATCTCACCGGATGGTAGCCATCTCACCGGATGGTAGCCATCTCACCGGATGGTAGCCATCTCACCGGATGGTAGCCATCTCACCGGATGGTAGCCATCTCACCGGATGGTAGCCATCTCACCGGATGGTAGCCATCTCACCGGATGGTAGCTATCTCACCGGATGGTAGCCATCTCACCGGATGGTAGCCATCTCACCGGATGGTAGCCATCTCACCGGATAGTAGCCATCTCACCGGATGGTAGCCATCTCACCGGATGGTAGCCATCTCACCGGATGGTAGCCATCTCACCGGATGGTAGCCATCTCACCGGATGGTAGCCATCTCACCGGATGGTAGCCATCTCACCGGATGGTAGCCATCTCACCGGATGAAAGTAGCCATTTCACCGGATGGTAGCCATCTCACCGGATATTTAGCCATCTCACCGGATGGTAGCCGCTCCTCCACCCGGATGGTAGCCATCTCACCGGATGATGGCCATCTCACCGGATGGTAGCCATTTCACCGGATGGTAACTACATCTAACCGGATGGTAGCCATCTCACCGGATGTTAACCATCTCACCGGATGGTAGCCATCTCACCGGATGGTAGCCCATCTCACCGGATGGTAGACATCTGACCGGATGGTAGCCATCTCTCACCGGATGGTAGCCATCTCACCGGATGGTAGCCATCTCGCGGATGGTAAACATCTCACCGGATGGTAGCCGGCACGGATGTTAGCCATCTCACCGGATGGTAGCCATCTCACCGGATGGTAGCCATCTCACCCGGATGGTAGCCATCTCACCGGATGGTAGCCATCTCACCGGATGGTAGCCATCTCACCGGATGGTAGCCATCTCACCGGATGGTAGCCATCTCACCGGATGGCAGCTTAGCATCTCACCGGATGGCAGCCATCTCACCGGATGGTATACCATCACCGGATGGTAGCCATCTCACCGGATGGTAGCCGTCTCACCGGATGGTAGCCATCTCACCGGATGGTAGCCATCTCACCGGATGAAGGCTAGCCATCTCACCGGATGGTAGCCATCTCACCGGATGGTAGCCATCTCTACCGGATGGTAGCCATCTCACCGGATGTTAGCCATCTCTACCGGATGGTAGCCATCTCTTACCGGATGGTGAAGCCATCTCTTACCGGATGGTAGCCATCTCACCGGATGGTAGCGCCATCTCACCGGATGGTAGCTATCTCACCGGATGGTAATATCTCACCGGATGGTAGCCATCTCACCGGATGGTGCCCCATCTCACCGGATGGTAGCCATCTCTACCGGATGGTAGCCTACTCTACCGGATGGTATTATCTCACCGGATAGTAGCCATCTCACCGGATGGTAGGCCATCTCACCGGATGGTAGCCATCTCACCGGATGGTAGCCATCTCACCGGATGGTAGCCATCTCACCGGATGGTAGCCATCTCACCGGATGTTAGCCATCTCACCGGATGGTAGCCATCTCACCGGATGGTAGCCATCTCACCGGATGGTAGCCATCTCACCGGATGGTAGCGCCGGTCTCACCGGATGGTAGCCATCTCACCGGATGGTAGCCATCTCACCGGATGGTAGCCAGCTCTCACCGGATGGTAGCCATCTCACCGGATGGTAGCCATCTCACCGGATGGTAGCCATCTCACCGGATGGTAGCCATCTCACCGGATGTTAGCCATCTCACCGGATGGTAGCCATCTCACCGGATGGTAGCCATCTCACCGGATGGTAGCCATCTCACCGGATAGTCCCGCCATCTCACCGGATGGTAGCCATCTCACCGGATTGTAGCCCTATCTCACCGGATGGTAGCCATCTCACCGGATGGTAGCCATCTCACCGGATGGTAGCCATCTCACCGGGATGGTAGCCATCTCACCGGATGGTAGCCATCTCACCGGATGGTAGCCACTCTCACCGGATGGTAGCGCATCTCACCGGATAGTAGCCATCTCACCGGATGGTAGCCATTCCCACCGGATGGTACGCCATCTCTCACCGGGATGGTAGCCATCTCACCGGATGGTAGCCCATCTCACCGGATGGTAGCCATCTCACCGGATGGTAGCCATCTCACCGGATGGTAGCCATCTCACCGGATAGTAGCCATCTCACCGGATGGTAGCCATCTCACCGGATGGTAGCCATCTCACCGGATGGTAGCCATCTCACCGGATGGTAGCCATCTCACCGGATGGTAGCCATCTCACCGGATGGACCATCTCACCGGATGGTAGCCATCTCACCGGATGGTAGCCATCTCTACCGGATGGTAGCCATCTCACCGGATGGTAGCCATCTCACCGGATAAGGGTAGCTCTCTCACCGGATCGTAGCCATCTCACCGGATGGTAGCCATTCACCGGATGGTAGCCATCTCACCGGATGGTAGCCATCTCACCGGATGGTGTGCCATTCTCCTGATGGTAGCTATCTCACCGGATGGTAGCCATCCTACCGGATGGTAGCTATCTCACCGGATGGTAGCCATCTCACCGGATGGTAGCTACTCACCGGATGGTAGCCATCTCACCGGATGGTAGCCATCTCACCGGATGGTAGCCATCTCACCGGATGGTAGCCATCTCACCGGATGGTAGCCATCTCACCGGATGGTAGCCATCTCACCGGATGGTAGCCATCTCTACCGGATGGTAGCCATCTCACCGGATGGTAGCCATCTCACCGGATGGTAGCTCATCTCACCGGATGGTAGCCATCTCACCGATGGTAGCTATCTCACCGGATGGTAGCTATCTCTACCGGATGGTAGCCATCTCAATGATGGTAGCCATTCACCGGATGGTAGCCATCTCACCGGATGGTAGCCATTCACTGATGGTAGCTAGTCTCACCGGATGGTAGCCATCTCACCGGGATGGTAGCCATCTCACCGGATGGTAGCCATCTCACCGGATGGTAGCCATCTCACCGGATGGTAGCCATCTCACCGGATGGTAGCCATCTCACCGGAGCCGGTAGCCATCTCACCGGATGGTAGCCATCTCTACCGGATGGTAGCCATCTCACCGGATGGTAGCCATCTCACCGGATGGGTAAAATATTCACCGATGGTAGCCATCTTCACCGGATGGTAGCTATCTCACCGATGGTAGCGCCACTTCACCGGATGGTGGCCATTCACCGGGATGGTAGCTATCTCACCGATGGTAGCTATCTCACCGGATGGTAGCCTTCTTCTCCCGGATGGTAGCCATCTCACCGGATGGTAGCCATCTCACCGGATGGTAGCCATCTCACCGGATGGTAGCCATCTCACCGGATGGTAGCCATCTCACCGGATGTGCCAGCCATCTCACCGGATGGTAGCCATCTCACCGGATGGTAGCCATCTCACCGGATGGCGTAGCCATCTCACCGGATGGTAGCCATCTCACCGGGATGGTAGCCATCTACCGGATGGTAGCCATCTCACCGGATGGTAGCCATCTCACCGGATGGTAGCCATCTCACCGGATGGTAGCCATCTCACCGGATGGTAGCCATCTGTACCGGATGGTAGCCATCTCACCGGATGGTAGCCATCTCACCGGATGGTAGCCATCTCTCACCGGAGGAGCCACCTTACCGGATGGTAGCTTATCTTCTACTGATGGTAGCTATCTCACCGGATGGTAGCTATCTCTACCGATGGTAGCCATCTTCACCGGATGGTAGCTATCTCACCGGATGGTAGCCATCTCACCGGATGGTAGCCATCTTCACCGGATGGTAGCCATCTCACCGGATGGTAGCCATCTCTACCGGATGGTAGCTATCTTTACCGGATGGTAGCCATTCACTGATGGTAGTTATCTCACTGATGGTAGCCATCTCACCGGATGGTAGCCATCTCACCGGATGGTAGCCATCTCACCGGATGGTAGCCATCTCACCAGATGGTAGCCATCTCACCGGATGGTAGCCATCTCACCGGATCAGTAGCCATTCTCACCGGAGTGGTAGCCCCATCTCACCGGATGGTAACCATCCCTACCGGATGGTAGCCATCTCACCGGATGGTAGTGCCATCTCACCGGATGGTAGCCATCTCACCGGATGGTACCATCTCACCGGGATGGTAGCCATCTCACCGGATGGTAGCCATCTCACCGGATGGTAGCCATCTCACCGGATGGTAGCCATCCTACCGGATGGGTAGCCATCTCACCGGATGGTAGCCATCTCACCGGATGGTAGCCATCTCACCGGATGTCCAGCCATCTCACCGGATGGTAGCCATCTCACCGGATGGTAGCCATCTCACCGGAGTTTAGCCATCTCTTACCGGATGGTAGCCATTCTTACCGGATGGTAGCGCTATCTCACAGGATGGTAGCCATCTCACCGGATGGTAGCCACTCACCGGATGGTAGCCATCTCACC